CTGTAGCCTCATCTAATTTTCAACACTATTTTAAAGATTAGAAACATCACACACAAAAGACTGACTTAGCTGAGCATGGTGGCACACGCCTAAAATCCCAGCAATTTGGGAAGCTGAGATAGGAGAATGACAAGTTCAAGGCCAGCATTAGCCACTCAGTGAGACCCTGTCTTAAAATAAAAAATAAAAAGAGTTGGGGATGTAGCTCAGTGGTAAAGCACCTTGGGTTCAATCCCTAGTAACAAAACAAAACTCACAAAACCAAGAGGAGAAATAAAGAAAAAAGGGCTGACGTAGCAGACACAACAGGTAATATTATAGTACCTGTTCTTGATGATTTGAAGTACACTTGGTTACTGATTTATACAGGGCAATTTCATCCTATACTACACGACTCTAGATGCTGCCTATTCTTTTTGGACTTTTTTTTAAACAAAGTAATCTTTGTATCTTTATCCTTACTTTTAGCAGTAAGCTATCATTTAACACTGTTGTCATTGGTGCCAAATCTAACAATAGATCCTACTTTCTGTCTTACCTACCTTACAATTTTTTTAAAACATTTTTAAAGCTGTAGATGGACACAATACCTTTATTTTATTTATTTATTTTTATGTGGTGCTGAGAATTGAACCCAGTGCCTCATACATGTTATGCAAATGCTCTACCACTGAGCTACAACCCTAGCCCCCTACCTCTAAGCCCCCAGTGATCCACTCTTTACAACTAGGTCCCACCTCCTAGAGTTTCCACTACTGTTTGGGCATTGAGATAATGCATGCAGAGGCCCTACCCCATAAGAGGTGCTCAATATATATTTCCCTGTATAATTCCCTAACTACTTTGACAATTAAATTGGTGCCTTGGGAGTCTTTTACAATAAGAAAAATGGATAAAGGTTTACTCCTTCTACTTCCTAACATTTTTCTCAATGTCCAAACAGCTCTTGAGAAATAAGAATCATTATTGTTATTTGTTATGGTTTAGATATGAAATATCCCCCAAAGGTCATGTGGTAAAGACTTGGTAGACAGCCCATGCCACTATAGGGAAGTGGTGGAAACACTAGGAGGTGGGGATTAGTTGGGGAGAGTAGGTCACTGGGGGGCATATCTTTGAAGGATATGTCTTGTTCCCCAGTCCCTTTCTCTCTCTTTCTCTTCCTGTCTACCATTAGGTAAGTAGCTCTGCTTCACCATGCCCTCCCTCTTATAATGTTGTGCCTCATCACAGGCCAAGAAACAGCAGAGCCAACAGACCATAGACAGAATCTCTGAAACTGTGAGCCAAAATAAATCTTTCCTCTTTATAAGTTGCTTTCCATGTATTTTGTCATAGTGATAGAAAGCTGATTAACACACCATTTACAGTGGAAAAAAAATGTTCTGAAAGGCTAAAGTGACTTATTCATGCTGAAAAGTGCTAGAAAAGGACAATTCAAACTAAGTTCTGCTCAGTGTCAAAGTGCACTGCTCTATTACTTGTAGGACTGGTCCTCTCCTTTATATATATATATATAAACAACTTACTACCTCTATTCCAGAAAACAAACAATGAGAAAATATAATAGTGAACAGGACACCATTCATAATCAAAACAATACATACCAGGTACTTAGGAATTAAAGTCCAGACTTCTATGGAAAAAAATTAATCCTAAGATATAAGAGACTTGAATACATGAAAGGTAAACTCTGACTTATGGATGGAAAGACTTAACAGTATAAAGATGTCAGTGTACTCCAAATTAATTTACAAATTCAGTTCAATGTAAAAAAATCTCAACAATATTTTGTGGAAATTGGATTGATGCTAAAGTGTACATAGAATAATGATTTATAGGATATAAGAATAGCTAGCTAGTAAAATTGTGAAACTAGAAGTGCAGAGTGAAGATTTGCCGTAACTGATTATTAAGGCAACTTTCAAACCCTTAATAAGTAAAACAGCATAATATTGATGAGGGATCAAATGGGCAATGGAGCAAATTAGAATCCAGGAGTGGACTCATGTATATATAGGAAACTGGTGCAGAGGAAGGTGGTAATACAAATCAGTAAGGAAAGAAGGGGTCATTTAATAATCACTGGGGAACTGGCTTATTATATAGAGAAAATGAGGTAATGAAGTAACATCCTTTTTCTCAACATGCACAGAATTTCTGAACATGTACAAAATAAATACCCACTATATTAAGAACATGACATGAAATTATAAAATTATAAGAAAATTTAGAAACATATCGTTATGACCTAAGAATAGGGGGAGTTTATTAAATAAAGACAAAAATATACAGTATAAAAGTACATATTAATGGGTTTGGCAAAACCAAAATAAATATTTTTTTGGTACTGTGGATTGAACCCAGGGGCACTTTACCCCCGAGATATATCCCCAGCCCTTCACATTTTTTTATTTTGAAAAGGGTCTGGCTAAGTTGCTCAGGGCCTAAGTTGCTGAGGCTGCCCTTGAACTTGCAATCCACCTGCCTCAGTCTCCCAAGTTGCTAGGATTGCAGGTGTACACCACTGTGCTCAGCAAAATACTTCATGAGGAGAAGGAAAGTATATTGATATCTGAAAGTTACTTGGAAATTTGTTAAGAAGAATGGTTAAATAGGTGACTAGAAATTAACAGATGGATAGTTCTGTCAGATAAAGCACAGTAAAATATTAATTATTAGAATCTACAAGGTGGTTATTCTTCCAACATTTCTGTATATATGTAATTATAAAAATAAAAGGTCTAAGAGCTGGGAGTGGTGGTACACACCTGTAAACCCAGCAATTTAGGAGGGAGGTTGAATCAATAGAATTGCAAGTTATAGGTCAGCGAATTTAGCAAGACCAACAGCAACTTAATAAGACTGTGTCTCCAAAAATAAAAAGGAGGCCGGGCACAGTGGCACATGCCTATGATTCCAGCGGCTCGGGAGGCTGAGGCAGGAAGATCTCAAAGCCAGCCTCAGCAACTCAGTGATGCCCTAAGCAATTAAGCAGTTAAGCACCCGGGGTTTGATCTCGAGCACCAAAAAATTTAAATGAAATAAATAAATAAATGGGATGAAGTGAAATGAAATGAAAAGGACTGGGGATGTATCTCAGTGGTAAAGCATCCCTGGGTTCAATCCCCAGTCAAAACAAAACAAAACAAGATGAAACAATAAAAGTTTGGCTAATATGAAATACTTCTGTTCAATAAAGGCTATTGTGCATAAAATTTAAACAAGCTGATGAATAGGAAAAGATATTTGATATATACATACACATATACACATAAGCACATGCAACTAATACAAATACAGAAAAGATATCTGCTGTGTATCTGACAAGGAACTTCAGTAACCAAGGAGAAAAGACAAATAATCTCATAGAAAGTTGCAAGATAAGTAAATAAGTGCTTCGGAATGAGAAAACTCAAATGGCTAATCAGCATAAAAACAGAGAAGATTAGGGCTGGGGATAGAGCTCAGTGGTAGAACGCCTCCTTTGCATGCATAAGACAGTGGTTTTGATCTGTAGCACCAGAATAAAGAAAAACAAAGATCAGTCTCATCTGTAATCAAAAGAAATGCAAATTAAAATGTTATTAGGAACCTACCAGAGTGGTAAAAATTAAGTTATACAATCAGTAGTAGCAAAATGAGGAATTAGAAAACCTTATGTATTGTTCATAGGAATACAAATTAGCAGTTTTATCTAGTGCAATTGGCAACATTGCTCTGAATCTACATGTATTTTTACAGGATCCAGAAATGCTACTCCTGAGTATATACTTCAGATAAACTGACAAAGGAACACAAAAAGACAGAGAAGAGACAACTATTAAGCAATGTTTGTAATTCCAAAGAACTGGAAACAACTATCCATTCATCTATCAATAAAATACTGTGATATCAGTATTTGATGGAACATAACCAGCAGTTAAGTGGAATGAACCATATATGAATATGGATACACCTAAAAAATAACTCTGAATGTGGGGTGGATCATGTCTATAGTTCCAGCTACTAAGGTGGCTGAGGTGGGAGGAGTACTTGAGTCCATTAGTATGAGACCAGTGTGAGCATCACAGAGACCTTGTCAAGAAAGGAAGGAAAGAAGAACAGTAAATGAAAGCTAAGAAATAGAATGAGGTATATAGCACAATACCTTTCATGTCAAAAAAAGCAAAACAAACAAACAAACAAACAAATAAAACTCTAGCTGTGTGAGATGGTGTACATCTGTAGTCCCAGCTACTCAAAAGGCTGAGGTGGGATTACCACTTTGAGCCCAGGAATTCAAGGCCATCTTGAGCAACGTAATAATATCCAGACTCTTAAAAAAAAAAAAAAAAAAAAAAAAGCAGGGCATGGTGGTGTGTGCTTTTATTCCTAGCTACTTGGGAGGCTGAGGTGGAAGGACCACAAGTTTGAGGCTAGTCTTAGCAACTTAGCAAGACACAAAATTAAAAAAATAAAATAAAAAGGTCCGTGAAAGTAGCTCAGTAATAAAGCATCCCTAGTTTCAATCCCCAGCACCAGGAGAAAAAAAAAAGTACATATACAAAAAATACTATTGGAGCTAAGGATATAGAACTTGAATGGCATGCACAATACCCTGGTTTGGATCCCCAGCACCAAAAAAAAAAAAATACTGTGCATGGATATGGATATGGATATGGATATAAATACAAACATATGTAATATAGCTTGGAAGTGCACAAATCGAATACTCAAGAATGAAGGACTCTTCGTAGAAAGGAGAAGGGAACTGGATCAGGAATGAGGACTGAAAGGGACAAAAATGAGGGATTATTCATGATATGATGATGACAAAGGATCATAAGCTGGGGTGAGTATTCTAACAATAATTTTCAGTGTTTCTGAAGTTTAAGGTGAACGTGAATCAAAAATTTCCCCGCAATGAAACACCATAAAAACACTTACTTAAAATCATTGTCCAAAAAAAAAAAAGTAAAAGAGAAAGGAACTAGCTACTTCCCTGTCACATGGCTTACCGGAGTACACAGCACATGAGCAGCAGATGGGTGGGGACATTAGCTGGATTGAGCATACTGGGTGTGTCAGACTTCATACAGGCCAGGAAAGCTCGCATCCTTCTGTTCTTGTCTTCAACTGCTTTGCCTAGCCAGAGCTTCTTCAGGTTTGGGCAAGTCCATTCCCGAAATGTTAGTGCAGACACCAGTTCAGGGGTCTGAGGTGACTTCCCTTTATAGGCGGACCACTCTTTAAGGATCACTGAAGGAACTAGAAAACAAATTAAGGAAAAATAGTCTCTAGAAAATCTGAGCATTGTTGTCAGATGGCTACGATTGACAGGGTCTATTACATTTCAACATTTTCTTATCACTCTAATTTTTTATTTTTAGCTGTGGTAGCAAGCATTTATTAGGTACTTGATGAATGTTGAGTACTTTTCATATGTTATCTCATTTAATTCTCACAAAACCCAGAGAGCAAACTATTATGATTACTTTATTACAAAACACAGTGCTCATTTTGCAGAGGAAGAAATCAAAGCCCAATGTCATACAACTCTTAACTGCTTTGAAACTCATTTCTTAAGTAAATGTACCAGGCTGACAAGGAATGAAGTCGAAGGGAAAGTTGTGTAAATATCTGGCTTCCCAATACATAGTAGGGTACTCCAAAAGACTTAAATGGATTTCACAAAATTCTCAAAAAAATCAAACATCTTGGGCATGGAGGGGTATGCCTGTGATCCTAGCTACTTGGGAAGCTGAGGGAGGTGGACTGATTGAGCCCAAGAGTTTTTGAAGCCTACCTGGGTACCATAGTGAGAAACCCACCCCTCAACATCTTTTAGATTCACCAGGGTATAACAGAGCAGAAAAACATGGCTTCTGTCTACTCCTAGTACACTTCTGGCTCTGAAGTTATGGTTCTTTTAATTGAGATGTCTAGCATCTACTCAATCACCCAAGTCAGAAACCTAGGAATCATCTTGAGTCTTCTTTCTTCTCACCTCCTAAACATGTTTTCTAAACCAGGGCCCTGTTGATTCTATTCCAGGATCATCCCTTCTATCTCTATCCTTTTTTCCATCACAAAAAATATTCTAATGGTTCATATGGCATCCTTCACCTGACAAGATTCTCTACACTGCTTGTTCCTACCTTTATCCTGACTGGTCCCTCTCAGCCCCATGCTCCACAATCACTAGAGAATTCCTTTTTTTGTGCTGGGGATTGAACACAGGGCCCCACTCATACTAGGCAAGTGCTCTTTTACTGAGCTACATACCTTGCCCTAGAGTGCTCTCTAAACAAACAAAAAGAAACTTCTTAGTTTGAAATAATTATACATTTACAAGGAGTTGCAAAATAGTATAGAGGTCCTGTGTACCCCTCACTTAAATTCCCGTTTTTATCTTAAATTATATAAACCAATGCTCAGAAATTGATATTGAAATAATGTGTGTATGTAGTTTTAAAAAAATATTTTAAGATGTTGATGCACCTTTACTTTATTCATTTATTTATATGTAGTGCTGAGAATGGAACCCAGTGCCTCACACATGCTAGACAAGCATTCTACCACTGAGCCCCAGCCCTAGCTCTATATGTAGCTCCAATATATGTATGCAATGTAGATCCACATAACCACCACTACAATCAAGATACAGAACTATTCCATAACCACAAAGATTTCCATTATGTTATAGCTTGTAGTCAGAGCCTTCCAACACCATCCCTAACTCTGCATCTCTATGATTTTGTGATTTTGAAAATGTTATAAAAATGGAATCATACAGTATGTGACTTTTTGAGACTGGCATTTTCACTCAGTATAATGCCCTTGAGATCCATTTCTGTTGTTGAATCAATAGTTTGTTTCTTTTTTACTGAGTATTATTCCTTGACATAAGAATATATAACTGGGTTATTACTAATTTGGGGCTCTTAAGAATGAAGATTTTGGGGGGCTGAGGTTGTAGCTAAGCGGTAGAGTGCTTGCTTGGCATGTGTAAGGTGCTGGATTTGATCCTCAGCACCACATAAAAATAAATAAATAAAATAAAGGTATAAAAAGTGATATCCTTCAAATTAAAGAGCTTTTAAAAAACAAAGAATGAAGATTTTGGTAGAGTACTTGCCTTGCATGCATGAGGCCCTAGGTTTGAGCCCTAGTGCTGGGAAAAAAAGAATAAAGCTGTATTATGAAGTTTCTGCAGGAAAATAAGTTTTGGGTATATGTTCATGATATAAGTGTTGGGAATGTGTCTATTTTTAATTTTGAAAGGAACCACAAATTACATTCCAGAACGGCAGTGTCATTTTACATTCCCACCAGCAATTTATGAGTGATCCAGTTTCTCTGAATCGTCTCTGACATGTTATTATCACTATTATTCATCTTAGCTATTTTGATAGGTATACAGTAATAATTCACTGTGGTTTTAATCTGCATTTCTTTAATGATACATAACTTCATTTATGTTTTATTAATGTATTATAGTTATATACATAATAGTGGGGTTCTGTTATCTTCTTCAGTGAAATGTCTGTATATGTCATTTGCTGGTTTTCCAATTGTTTTTTTTTTATTTTATTTTTTAAAGAGAGAGAGAGAGAGAGAGAGAGAGAGAGAGAGAGAGAGAGAGAGAGAGAGAGAGAATTTTTTAATATTTATTTTTTAGTTTTCGGTGGACACAACATCTTTGTTTGTATGTGGTGCTGAGGATCGAACCCGGGCCGCACGCATACCAGGCGAGCGCGCTGCCGCTTGAGCCACATCCCCAGCCCCTCCAATTGGTTTTTATAATGTTTACTTTTAGATGTGAACCTGTTTACCTATGAATATCTAGTACATCCACCACCAATTAAAAAGACACTTATCTTTCTTCCTTTGAAGTGCTTTAACAGCTTTGTCAAAAACCAGTTGACTCTACTCCTATGGGGGCTATTTCTGGATTCCTTATTGTATTTTACTCTTCTATGTGTCAGTATATCTGCTAATACTACACTGTCTTAGTTACTGTAGTTACATAATAGGTCTTGCAATTAGATTCATCAACTGCTCCAAATTTATTCTTACTTTAAAGAATCATTTTAGCTATTCTAATTCCTTTGCTTTTCCACATTAGAATAATCTTGTCTATATCCACAAATAATCTTGCTGGGATTTGAATAGGAATTGCATTATATTTGTGTATCATCTTGGAGAACATTATTGAATCTTGCATTTCATTTTCTTGACTTCTACTCTGGCAAAAACTATGTTCAAGAGCAGGCATTACAGCCTTGTTCCTAATTTTAAAAGAAAAGTATTCAGTCTTTCATCAATAAGTATAAAGTCAGCTGTAAGTTTTTGTAGATATTCTTGATGTCAAGTTGAGGAAGTTCCTTTCTATTTCTAGTTTTCTGGGAGTTTTTATCACAGATGAATGTCAAATTCTGTCAAATAATTTTCTGCATTCATTGATATGATCATATGATTTTTCTTCGTTAGCTCATTTAGATGATTGATTAGATAACTGATTGAATTTTTTTTCAAATTATTTTTTGTAGTTGTCCATGGACATTTATTTTATCTATTTATATATGGTGGTGAGAATCAAACCCAGTGCCTCACATATGCTAAGTAAGCACTCTACCACCGAGTTACAACCCCAGCCTGATTTTTCCAAATTTTGAGTTAAATTTGAATACTGAACCAACCTTGCAATAGGATAAATCCTACTAGAACATGCTGTATAATTCTTTTTATATGTTGTTTAATTCTATGGGGCAATATATTCTTAAGAATTTTTGCATTATATTGTATTAGTTTGTTTATATTTTTGGTACCAGGGATTGAAAACAGGGGTGCTTAACTGCTTAGCAATATCCCTACCCCTTTTTAATTTTGAGACAGGGTCTTGTTTGCTAAGTTGATACAGCTGGATTTGAATTTATAATCCTCCTGCCTCAGCCTCCTGAGCAGATGAGATGATAGGCATGCACCACCATGCCCAGCAATATTGTCTGTTTAGGTTGCTATGACAACATATCATAGACTGGGTGACTCATAAACAACAAAATTTATTTTTCACAGTTTTGGAGGTTGGGAAGTCCAAGAGCTAAATGCTAGCTGATACAATTTGGTGAGGCCATGATTCCTGGGTTTGTAGGTAGCCGTCTTTTCACTATTTTCTTGCCTAGGAGGGAGAAGAGAGAGCACTCTAAGGTCACTTTTAGAAAGACACTAATCGTATTCACGAAGGAAACATGCTTAGAATCTAATCACCTCCCAAAGGCCCCACTTCTGAAAATCCTCACTTGGGGGGTGGGCGGTTAGGATTTCAACATTATGTGTATTTTTGTCTTTTCAAATTTTAATTATTATATGTTTTTGCATTAAAAAGTCAAACATAGTTATCACAAATTACAAAGGACTAACAGTGGGACTATAATAATGAATGAATCACTTCAGTCTGGAAATCAGTTACCCTCAATGTCATAGTATAAGCTCATTCAAGTATTTTACTTTTTTTGTCCTTTTAAATGTAATATCCTAGCACATGGTAAGTATAAGCATAGGATGGAACTTTCTCTGCAAAGCTAAATGACAAATTTTCCTTTTCAGTGAGAATCATCTATAACTTTTGTTCTCTGCCTCTGCCATGTGCCAGACAATCCAGACCACTCTACCCAGGTTTTTGGCAAAAGATCCCTACCCTCCCTAACTACTGGTCTTCTTGTTCCTTCCTCTCCACTTCCAGAGCCCTCTAAGCAGCTTCCTTTCTTTTGTAAATCAATCATCAACAAAGGGGAAAAAGGGAACAAAACACTTAAAACTTTGACATTGAGGCTTAGCACCTCTGAGTCCCAGGGGTCCACACTGAGGCAGGGCCGGGTGGGCCTTCTCTACTGGTAGTGCATTTGTCATAGGTTCTGGAGAGAGCACAAGAGAAACCTGCCCCTCACCACAGCTGAGGCACACAGACCTTCTGTTTGAGGTTCACAGGTCATGCTGACATGAACCATCCTTGGAAGGGCAGAGCATCAACAGGGGGATTTAGGCAGGCTGTTGCTTTGTTAACCAGATCTTAGATCCCCACACAAAGGTGATAGGTATGAAGTGGCTAGTCCTGATGGCTCCTGCCATTCATGCTTATTACAGATATACTGGTCTTAAATTCAGGTGCTTTCAGAAAGTGAAGATGTAAACTATTCTTTGCATTATTAATTAATAACATGAAAATAGGCCCCCATCCCCTCCTCAGCCTATGTTGAGATGAAGTC